TTTTTTTTTTTTTTTTTTTTTTTTTTTTTGGCACTGGGGATCAAGCTGTGGTCCTTGTGCTTGCAGAAGCAGGAGCGGAACCACTGAGCTAAATTCCCAGCTCACTCAACTCTTAAGTGACTGGAATTACTACTTTTTTATTTTGCACTTTGTATTTTTAATCATTTAATGTGTGAGGAATGTAACAATTTAGAACAACTACTTATTTGGCAATATCAAGTTATTGAAAGCATAGCTAAGAATCACAAAGAATGGAAACTAATTAATAAATTAAAAAATTATAGAAAAGGATAGATGAGTCTTTGAGTTAGCAAGTGACTAAATCTGACCTCTAAAAAAATGCCATGCACTTTTCAGTGAAGATGACCTGGAAGTCTCCACTGAGGCTGTTTGCTCTCTGGACGGAGTTTGCTGTTGCCCCCCCATTAATTGAAAATAACACTTGAGGGACAGGGATTAACTCAGTGGTTCCGTCGCCTACCTTGCAAGTGTAAGGACCCGAAGTTCGATCCCCAGTACCGCCCCCCCAAAAAAACACTTGACATGATTTTAACAAGTGTGTTTCTCTGCCTACTTCAGATTACAGTAACAAATTCAGCATGTTGATGATAGCAAACAGTATCAACTGAAAAAGAAAACAATTACAAAGTACAGACATATAGATTTACTGAGAATAAAGACTGTAGCTCTCATAAAACCAAACCCTGCACAGCTTTATGTGGAATAGTTGATGGCATAGTGATAAACACATGTGAAAAAGCTAAGTCATAGGTAACGTTCTGTGCCAGAAAAATGTTCTCTCAAATGTTCCTTCTCTACCTTCTACCTCTATAAATAAAACCACTATTTTTCTGAGTTGACCATTTTTAGACAGTTATTTTTGTTAATATGTTCATGGAGACATAGAAATGAGCTTATATTGCTGATCAAGGATTAAATGGTTTAAATGCTTTGCTAATAAATGCTTATCCAAAGGTATTGTGACAAACCAGAGGAAATACTTTTTGATGTTATCTAAGAGTCCAGTGTTCTACGTAGAAAAACAGATGTAGGGGATATCAAAATTATCTAAAATAACTAAAAGAATACCTAATTAAAGACTTAGTTTATTTTCTTTAATCCGCCTTCTCTTAAATTTTTCTCTTCCCTTTTTTTCCCTTGCAATCTTTTATTGACGAAAGCAGGTCATATTTCCTGTTTAGAGTCTCACCATATAGATTCTCTATGTGAAGCTTATAATGCATTTGTTCCTCTATATTTTCAATAAACTAATAGTTAGGTCTAGATGCTTCATAACTTTTTCTCCCACTGTTTATTGAGGAACAAGGCTGGCAGTATACATAAGGTCTAATTGTTTCTCTTTTTTATGATTTTAGCAGTCATTGATAATCATATTGCAATCCATTGATTCACTGCACATTGCAAAACAGTGATATAATTTTATCATAACTTCATTAACTTATTTTTGAGATTTATATATAAATCATATGTCTCTGTGAGAATAGAGATTAAGTTTCACTCTCAGTGAATGTTTGCATTCTGATCATTGCTTAGAAAGATTCCTTTGTCCTTTTAGAGCTGCCTGCTGAAGCACTGAAATAAACATGTAAGAATATTGTGGTCTTGTGCTCTTAAAGAGGTTGAACATCTAAGTAATTTGTTGAAGAATTGTCATCCTTACCTTAACACACCCTTTCTAAAGGATATGTCAGTGTTGGTAGGGTTACTAGATTGAGAAACTGACAAGTTCTCTCAAATACACATTTCAGTTTGTAGCCTTTACAACATATTTCAGCTTTATTGTAATCAACAAGGCAAGGCTTTACGTTAGGCTCACAGAATTTATGTACCCAGGCAAATTTTTTTCTAAACCTCATGAAATCATGCCCTTTAGGAAACACATTTAAAGTCCAAGCTCTATCTCCTTTCAAAACCTTGAGTTTTTAGCTGGGCATGGTGGCGCACGCCTGTAATCCCAGCACTCGAGGCTGAGGCACTGAGGATCGCTGTGAGTTAGACCAGCCTGGGCTACATGGTGAGTTCCAGATCAGTTTCAACTACATAGTGAGACCCTGTCTTAAAAAAACTTGAGTTTTGCCAGGGATTTGTCTCAGTGGTTCCGTTGCCTGCCTCCCAAATGCAAGGTCCTGAGTTCAATCCCTGGTACCAAAAAAAAAAAAAAAAAAGTTTTATGGTTGGTTTATTTTGGTTTTTGGTTTTTGTTGTTTTTTTTCTGGTACCAGGGATTGAACTCAGGGCCTTGCCCTTCTTTGCAAGGCAGGCACAGCGTCAATGAGCTAAATCCCTGGCCCCTCATGGTTGGTTTAAGAAAGGTATTGTGTAATGGGCCGGGGATTTAGCTCAGTGGTTCCACCGCCTGCCACCATGCAAGCTGAAGGTTCTGAGATTAATCCCTGGTACTTTAGAGAGAGAGAGGGAGGGAGGAAGGAAAGGTAGGTAGGTAGGTAGGTAGGTATTGTGTAATGAGCCAGAGATGTAGTTCAGTGTTGCTACACCTGCCTGGTAAGTGCGAGGTCCTAAGTTTGATTCCTGGTACCAGAAAAAAAATAATAGTACTGTGATATCTTTTTTTTTTTTTGGTACTGGGGATTGAACTTGGGTCCTTGCGCTTGCAAAGCAGGCCACCGAACCACTGAGCTAAATCTCTGGCCCCAATCTTATTTATTTTCAATACAATATTTTCTTAACAAATGGAAATTAGAGCCGAGGATTTAGCTCAGTGGCACACCTAGCAAGCACAAGGTCCTGAGTTCGATCCCCAGTACTGCCCCCCAAAAAAAGGAAATTATAAAATAAATTGTTTTAAAAAATAGATTTTAAGATAAGCTCTTCCCTGTGAATCAGTTTTACCTGTAATATCCTGTCCTTGCTGCATCCAGAGAGCATGCTGGTTAAGTACTCTGTGCTGTTAGCTCTCTAGAAAGTTGATGAGGAAGGAAATCTGGAGGTCAGAATGCTAAATATAATCAGCTTTCTAGGTTTAGTATCCAGTGTCTTTTATATTGTTTTGAATGAACCTTTAGGCATCGGTTACCCTGCTTTTTAAACAAAATTAAAAGCTCCCAGGGCCAGGGATTTAGTTCAGTAGTTCCACTGCCTGCCTTGCAAGCACAGGATCCTGAGTTTGATCCCCAGTACCAAAAATAAGCCCAAACTATAGCATATTAGCAGACAGATTTGTGTTATTGTTTTTATGTTCTTGTATTTTAGCAGTATTGGTGATTAAACCTAGGGCCTTCACACTGAGCTAAATCCTTAGTCCTTTTTGTTTGTTTGTTTTTGTTTTTTGGGTTTTTTGTTGTTTGTTTGTTTGTTTGTTTGTTTGTTTTTTGAGACAGGGTCTCACTATGTACTTGAGACTGACCTGGAACTCACTCTGTAGCCCAGGCTGGTCTCAACTCATACATCCTCCTGTCTCAGCCTCCCAAGTGTTGGGATTACAGACATGTGCCACCACGCCCAGTTTTATTTTTTATTTTGAGACAGGGTCTGTCTAAGTTGCCCAGGCTGTGCTTGAATTTATAATCCTCCTGCCTCAGCCTCCCAGAGTGCTAGCCAACAC